TTCTCTCTGCCATCCGTGAGAAGTGGCCTTTTATTGGCCGTGGAGGCTGCGTCAGAGTGCTGCAAGATAATGCCCCCGCCCACATAGATACCAGTGACCAACGGTTTGCTACTGCTGTTGCTGAACAAGGACTTAACGTCCAGCTTTGCTTCCAGCCGCCATACTCGCCCGATCTCAACTGTTTGGACCTCTCGCGCTTCTCTGCAATTCAAGCTCGTCAACGTCTGAAATCTTCAACGACCATGGATGAACTTATAGAGGCCGTCGCCGACTCGTACTGGGAGTTGCCTCCGTCGACGCTGGATGCAGCGTTTCTCAGTCTTCAATGCTCCATGGACAAGTGTATCAAGGACGGCGGTGGTAATGCGTTTAAAGCCTCGACATATGGCGAAGGAAAAACTTGAGAGGGAGGGGCGACTTCCTATCTGCCTGCAATGCTCTCCTGAAGTTGCGTCTCAGTACCACAAAAATAGTACTACGTTTTGTACTGAAAGCTAATATAATTATGGGACATCATTTTTAAGACAAAAAAGAGTAGTATGGGTCAACATATATGGGACGGAGTAGTACTCACCAACTCAGCACGACGCTTGGCTTTCATGAAGGTGACGATGGCAGCGACGTCAGGAAATAATTCCTGACGTCCCTGTTCTTTCATTGTCTTAGAGGTGGCGTGGCCAGTGAAGCTGAGCAGCTTGTCAGTCTGTTGCCACCACCCGTGGGCGGTGCCGCGAGCGCACTGCAGCTCCCGGGCCACCTCCTCCACTCCGACCTCCTGCATCCGCCGGACAGAGTCCCGCTTCTCGCGGAATCTGTAACTTCGCTGTTTCTTCTTCTTCTTCTTTGGGGAGAGTTGTCCAATCTGCAGAATGAAAAGTGAGCATGTAATACAAAGATTTAGGTGTTGCGTGGTGCAGTTTTACCATAACCATTCAATTGTAATGAATACATGATTGGGTAAATATTTCAACATATTTGAATTTGATTGGATAAAAGTGTCACTGTGTTACTATGGAAGCGGCTATGTAATACTGGCTTTTACGTTGCCGGTTTTATCTGTCTGTAGATTTCCCATATCTTCACTCTGGCACTTGGACTCTTACCTCCTATACAAAAGACAGATGCGATGCCAGGGCACTGTAGTGTCTGCTAATAGAAAGACACGCAAGGGGGGTCGGCGAACTTCCAGGAAATGTTAGCAGTAGTCTATTACTTGGTAAAAAGACAAGTGAGTAGTTCTATTCTACTCGTAGCTGGGGCTGCATGTGCTTGGGCCCAAGCTCTACTTGGTTGGCTGCTGTTGGTGTCAACTAGTTTGTCGATACCAGTCATCA